GGGCTCCATGCACACACGCCGGTCACCGCAGCCATAGTCACGTGCTTGCGGGGAGGATGCCACCAGTCCCACCAAGGTCAGTTTGGCTTCAGAGCTATGGGGCAGAGAAGCGCAGAGCAGCTCCCAGAGGTCTTGGGTAACAGGGGGAAGGTTTTCCTCGAGCTTGGCGAAGTCGGGGTGTTAATGGGCTGAAAACTTCTCTGTGCCACTATCTGCACTGAAGGCACAGATCTCCCCCAGGGAAACCAGCCTCGCAGGGAACACGGGCAGCAAGGAGAGCAAAAGTTATTCAACATACCATGGAAGTCACTGAAAATGCCGATTTCTCAAGCAAGGAAGGATTTTTAGTGCTGAGTTACGAGGGTGGTGGGTTGAGAGGAGAGACATACTCGTCAAGCAGGGAAAGTTAAGAGGGGAAGGCAACACCGTTTCCAACCTACGGATCGTCTATAATGCAGTATTAGCTTGTTAAACGTAGACATGCCAGCTTTGTAACATGCAGATTGAAATTAAAAAAGAAAATAGTGGCACGCTAGGTTTGCAGAGGGAGCCCGTCCCGAGGGAGCGGCAGGCGTTTGCTGAACCCTCTTTGCTACGAGAAGCCCCAGAGATGCCCCCCGAGGCGCAGCCTTGCTGCCCACGCTGCCTCCTGCCTCTCCACACTTCCAGCACAACCACAGCATCCCCTAGCTCCAGCCTCCAGCGCAGCCTCAACAAGCTTTTCAGAAGGGTGCAGAGCTGGAAAACAGCTCCCCAGGCCCTTCGTGGCAGGCAAACCACCGCTAACGGGGCTCTGACCCACGGGACCGCATGCAGCGAGGCTGCCGTGACCGGGACGGAGCAGCAGCGGCACGGCTTCTCTTCCCGCCTCGGGATTGCACCCCAGCTCCTGCAGCCAACACCCTGATGTATGAGCATGTGCCCAAAACAAAGAGAGAAGCTGAAGGGATGATTCTGCGTGGGTCCAGGGCTAGTATCTTCCGATGCACTTCCACCCACACTCCAACCACAGGCTCAGGAGAGCTGGGTTTCAGGGAACTCTGGCAGCTGCGGGCTAAAAGCAGCTCGGAGATAATTCCTTCTTCAGCTCTGTCACTCGCAGTTAGTAAAATAAACCCAAAAGGCACCCCGATGAAATCTCCTTGCTCCTCAACCATTAGAAGATAGTGCACGGCTCCAAAGCCAGGTGCTCAATCTGGAGTCCGTTAGTGATTACAGCTGCATTTTAAATAAGTAAAGAGGGGATGAGATGGAGTCTTAAAATGGAGAAGAGCGCTAGGAAAAAAAGGGGGTCCTGAGGCCCCTTGGACGCTGTTGAGACACAGAAATGATGCTGCTCTAAATACCACGTGGAAGAATCTCAGCATTTCTAGAAGTGACATCTCTCGTGAGCTCATTTCTCCTCTGCCGCTTTCCAAAGGGCGTGGGATGTGTGTCATGGAGCGGAGGGACGGCCACTGGGAACTGAGCGAAGAAGAGACTCAGAAGACCAACCCCAAGTTTCTTGTTTCATCTCCCACAAGTGCCCCACGGCTATTAATTCTGCTCAAGCATTTTGCCTGTCCTCCATCCCAGGCAAATTAATTCATGTTACATGGGAGGGGGAGTGTCTTTGCCTTGAAATGGTATTTACAGGACAAAACAAGAAGGTGGGTTCTTTTCGATACGGGTGGCTGTGGGAGCAGTGCAAGCTGTGAGCCGAGCGTGCTGCCGCAGCGTGCGACCAGCAAACGGAGGCTGCAGGGAACTGGGGGGGCACTGGGGAACTCAGCCTCACCGGGGCTGGGAGCTGAAGAAGGACCCAGCACTGAAGCGGTCACCTTCTTTCCTGTGGGTGTTTTATATCTGCATGGTCATCGTTAGCAGAGTGTAATTAGTGCAGATTGCAGGGCACTGCTGAGGGCAGCACCTCTACCCACTCCCCGGATGCTGACACTCACAGCAATATAAACAGTAATTAGGACTTGAGTAACCAAGAAAATGCATGTTTGGCTCGGTGGAGACATGGCAGCGAGCCAACGAGCCGCGGCAGGGGGCGTGGAGCCCGACCAGCCCTGGGGACGAGGTGAACACTGCTGCCCTCCCGGCACAGCCGAGCAGCCAGACTGATGTCCCTCTCACATCCTGGCTGCGCTGGGCAGACATGTGCCATCTCTCCATCACGAGCCTTTGGCAGTCTGTCCTTGGGCTTTCCAGCAGCCCCGAAGCCAGGCAGGACGGGCTGGGACACCCCACGCACGCAAAAGGGCTTGCGAGCAGGCAGCGGGTGAACACACCGTGAACAGCCCTTCAGCTCACAGCGACAACTTCTCAGCAACGTGACTAAACCCACACCAGAGTCCACCCCATCCGAAACCAGCTCGGTGGAAAATGAAAGAAGTGCATCCATAAACTCCTTTTCCCCAGCTCAAGATTGAGATTCCCAGTCTATTTGTGCAGCGTAACAAGTTACGGCCCAACTGGTACCCGTGCTTGGACCCTCTCACTGGGGTAAACCAAGCCAAACCACTTTGCGTGGGCTCGGAGCAGATGCAGAGCACAGGAGCACCGTGCGGCAGTAACCTGTTAGGCTATAAGTATATCCGGCTCTTTAAAGGCAGAGAGGTCCCCTCAAATTTCCTTGGTCTTCATCTTCATAGCTAGTCACATCGGAAGATACCAGTGTGGGGAAATCAAGTGTCAAGACCAGGTTGCTTCTTCCCTTCTCTGTGGCTTTTATTTAAAGGAAAAAATAAAAATAAAAAAAGGAGGAAAAAAAGAAAAGAAAGAAAAATAAATGGAAACTGCAGGACTTCCCATCCGAGGTGCAGAAAAGGAGGAGCATGCAGTGAATCACGAGATATACAAACCACAAAATGTTAATACAGGAGAGAACACAGTTTTCCAACCTGGGCTTCAGCACGGATAGTTTCAAAGAGAAGTTTTTCCTGGGATTGCATGGAAATCAAACATACACAGGAGTGAGGAGTGAGGTGGCTTCCCCGAGACCCCCGCGAGATCCACCAGAGCTCGGGCAGGGCTGGAGAACGGTGGCCAAGTGCCAAGCGGGATGGGGAAGGAGAAGCTGGAGCATCTCCAGGTCAACAGCACCAGGTGAGAAGAGCCATTCCGTCAATGCAGGGACAAACCTGGCAAAAACCTGCTCGTTGAAGCTACGGTAAGGACAGGTAGACGGAGTTAATGGTGCGGCCGTGTCCACGAAGCCTGTAAGAGGTGGCCCGTAGGAGCGTGGCTGGCACGGTTAGCTGTGAGGAGGTCAAACCCCCTTTACCCGCAGCCGCAAGCGCTCACAGAAGGTACCCTGTGAAGGGGGGCGGGGGGGGTCCCTTCCTCTGGCACTGAGGACAGGAGGAGATGTGAGCATAAGGGGAAGGAGCTGCAGCAGCTATCTGGAAGATCAAAAGAGGAGGGAAGACGATTTGCTGGCCAGAGTTTAAAATGCATGAGAGCCAAACAGCTTCTAAATTGAACCCGGGGCTCGTGCTGCCGTGACCCGCGGAGGGGACGGGCAGCTCGTGCTGAACAGTAGCCAGAGGAAAGGGGGAACCCACCACAACTGAATCCAAGTGGTTGCACAATACCTGGTGGGAATCCAGAGGAGCCTTGATATAGGAACAGTATTTCATATTCCTACGCACAAATTAAAGCCACATTTTCAACCCTCTTTGAAATCTGCACGCGTCAGAGTAACTCAGCCCATCAGAATCCCCACAAAGCGTATCCGAATTAAGCCCAGAGAGAGGGATGTGAGAAAGAGCCGCAGCTTCCAGGAACGGACAGGCTCCGAAAGAGGAAAGAAAGGGGACGAGGGAAGAGTTACTCCTGAGCAGCAAACCAGACAACTGCAGGGGCTGCTAAACGCCCCCCTTTACCTTGTTACGTCGGGAGCAGTGGTGGGGCGAACGTGCTTCATGATGGTCTGGATCCAGTTGCGGCGAATGCCCGACGTCATGGCGGAGAGGGTGAACTCCCCTTCCTTCGTCTAGGGAGAGAGGAGGACGGGCTCAGAGCGGCTGATTGCCCCTGCTGGCACCTTCCTGTCCCTCCCAACACCACCCTGCACCCAGGAGCACCCAGCACCAGGGTACCGCTCACCAGCTGCACAGACATCCAGCCCCTCCATCCCCCAGCACACTCATGGTGGGAATTAGCATTTCTCAGCCATCAGGTTGATGTTGCCATAGCTGAGACAAAACCTTCTCTTCGCCTCCATTTTTTGTGAACCAAAAAACCATCTTCCAAACCCAATGCCAGAGCTCTCCAGGGGATGCAGGGTGGCCTCTCTTAGGTGTCTGGGCAGATGTTTCCCTTGCCACGAATGAGCATCCCCAAGCAGTGGCACAGTGTGAGCCGCCCCATCGGCTGTCCTGCAGCCAGACTCTTCCTCATTCCCACATTTTCCTTACGTGGATCTGGAAGCCGTAGTTTCGCTGAACCGGGTACTCGGTAACATCGTAGCACGTGGATAAATCGATTTCTCCATCCAGGTCAGCTGCCTGGAGAGGGAAGAGGTAAAACAAGCCATAATGTTTTGCAACCTCAAAGCTCAGTGGGCTCACGGGGAAGCACCAGCAGGTCCTTGAGATGCACAAAGCCCTGAAGAGCGATGCTCCAGGACCTCGGCATCTGGGAAGACAACCTGTCCAGAGTCAGTTTGGGAGCACCTGGAGCTCCCCTGGGTGCAGGATGATGGGTTGAAGATCGACGGGGAAGACACTTACCTCCTCCGCCACCGAATCCCGGTAGTATCTCAGGCTCTGGTCGGTCAGCACAAACCAGTGCTTCTTCCACTAGAAAACAACCAAGACGGGGCAGTTACAATCCTGCTCCCTCCCTGCCAGCGGAGCCCGGGCAGCTCCTCACTCACAGGTCACCCAGCAGAGACATCCCACAGGGAGGCAGCTTGCAGCCTCTCCTCTCCCAGCTCCGCACCCGGCTTCGCCGAGAGGCTTGCCGGCGGGAAGGAGAGATCTGAACAGGCAGCAGTGCAATGGACACCATGACGGTTTGCATCACCAGGACCCAAATTTCCCCAGTGCCAACGCACCAGCACCAACCCTGTCTGTAATGGTGAAATGACTGCTGGAGCCACGGGGGCTGTCAGCCTTCCCATTAGCTCCAAGACAACGGAGCAAGTGCAGCTTTTAGTGGCTGTACTTAAAGCCTTGGAGGGACCTTTTTCCCCCAAAAAAAAAAGGCAGTAAAACATTCATGTTATATCTGCAGTACCTAAAAACGGAGTTGAAGCTTGTTCCTGGCCCTTGTTCTACACAAATATGCCTTCTGCACGCTCCCAGCGAGGCACAGGCTCATCCAAGGCAGCTTTCAGTACCTACAGATGTGTCCTCAGCCCCAGTGCTCGCAGCTGCAGGCGAGTTGCACTCATTTTCCCTCGACAGGTTGATTAGGAGGGAAAGAAATCGAGGGAATGGGCATTTACAAACAGCCACGGGCACCCACGCCGCATCGGCATCAGTGCCCGTCTCTAAGGCTGCAATAGAGCAGCACGTCCCACATCCCTACGGGAACGGACAGGAGGAAAGTGGCAGCGGCTGCTTCCCTCAGTGACAACTTAGTGGCTTTTATTTATTTCTTGGCCTCTCCATTTCCCTGGCGCTTGGGAGACTTTATCTGAGCCTCATTACTGACGCCAAAGAGGTTGCTGGGTCACAGGGGAGATGAGACTAATGGAGAACGGGAACACGAAACCAGTGCTGCTATCCAAGCTGCCCCGGCTCCCTAGAAACCCAGGACATGATATCCAGCTGTGGGGCTTTGAAACCTCCCCAGGACAGAGCACCAGCTATTCCCGCTCCAAGACAAACACCATCTGCACAGGGCTCACACACAGTCACTGCTGCCTGGCTCCAGAGCTGCACCGATTCCCTATAGCTGCTCTGCCCGAGCACCTACATCTGGTTTCTCCCGTCTGGAGCACAGCCCAACACTGATCTATGCTGCAAGGACATCAGGACTTCATCAGCGCTGAGAGCAGCCCCACGTGCAGCCTGCACAGCTGGGACATTGGAATGAGTGTCAGCTGCCAGAAACCGCAACTGACAGTGGCATCGAAGATCAATGCAAAGGGCAGAGCTTTCCTGGATTGAGACCAGCCCTGAGGAGAAGGACTTGGGGGTGTTGGTTGATGAGAAGCTCAACATGAGCCGGCAATGTGCGCTGGCATCCAAAGCAGCGTGGGCAGCAGGTCGAGGGAGGGGATTTTGCCCCTGTGCTCTGCTCTCATGAGATCCCCCTGCAGCGCTGCGTTCAGTTCTAGGACCAACATCAGAAGGACATGGAGCTGTTGGAGCGGGTCCAGAGGAGGCCACAAAAATGATTCAAGGGCTGGAGCACCTCTGCTATGGAGACAGGCTGAGAGAGTTGGGGCTGTTCAGCCTGGAGAAGAGAAGGCTCCAGGGAGGCTTCCAGCAGCCTTCCAGTACCTAAAGGGGCTACAAGAAAGCTGGAGAGGGGCTTTTGACAAGGGCGTGTAGTGATAAGACAAGGGGCAATGGCTTTACACTGAAGGGGGGGAGATTTAGATTAGATCTAAGGAAGAAATTTTTCACTCAGGGTGGTGAGGCACTGGAACAGGTTGCCCAGAGAAGTTGTGGCTGCCCCATCCCTGGAAGTGTTCAAGGCCAGATTGGATGGGGCTTCCAGCAACCTAATCTAGTGGAAAGTGTCCCTGCCCATGGCAGGGGGGTTGGAACTGGATGATCTTGAAGGTCCCTTCCAACCCAAACCATTTCATGATTCCATGATTCCCCAGACTCACCTGCCCGTCCTCGTACTGCTTTGTTAACCAGCCCTTCTTGAAATTCAGCAGGTCGGGCTGCAAGAAAGGAGAGAGGCGATCAGAGGGGAGGGTGGGAGCGTCTGCACTCAGCAGACAACAGCAGCAGCTTGATAAAACACAGTGCGGCAATAAAAGAGACCAGTAACAGTTAAATGGGATCATTGTACTGCGTGGAGCTAAACATTTGCTCCCTGGATGAAGAGACTCCCACTGTATGGTTTATCCAGGCTCTCCCTTTCCTAGCGTTTCTTTTGTAATTTCCTACTGCCTCACCAGCGTTACAGAGGAAGGAGAAGCAAGGAATTAGCAAGTCTGCAGGCAGTTTTGTCCCTCTATTATTCATTACGAAAGAAAAACTATGTGCTATTGATGCAAGGCTTCAGGGTTCAAAACAATGCTGAGTTCCCAAGGCTGGAAATATATGGAAACCCATCACTGCACCACTCCAACCACACCTGCTCCTTCCTCCAAAGCGGGTGCGTTGGGATGTTGAAGCTCTGAGAAAAGCAACCAAGGCAGCGTGGGATAACTCCCGCCAGCCCTTCCTCCCAGCCCTGCCCGTGCATGGGGAAGGATGTGGTGGAAATGCTTTTGCTCCCTTGAGGCTGAGCCCCTCCAGCTGCTCCACGTGCTGCAGAGTGGAGGAGGAAAGGACAGCGGTGTGTGAAATGCAGCTGTAGTGTCCAAAACGGGCTATAGCACATGGAGCAATGGAAAACTGGGGTCTGGAAGCCTCTTCAATCAAACCTATGATGTGGGGTGGCACATCTCACCTTTGAGTGCTCCCACGGTGGTGGGAACCCAGCCCCGCTCCGCAAAAACACAAGGGAAAGTGAATGCCACCTTGCCCTTCCCGAATCCCGATAAACCGCCGCGTCCCACCAGAACCTGCTGACGAGGCAGCAACAAGCCACAGACAAACTATAGAGAAAACTACATTTGCAACGCCGACACCCACCCCTGAAGTGGGGTATGCGAGCCAGGCATCCTAAGCTCAGCCCTAATTCACCCTGAGAGCGCCATACTATCACCTGCCTCCTTCTCCTCTGCTCAAACGCAGATGGGATCATGCTTCCAGGATCTGGGTCCTGTTTAAGCTCCTTCTTGTACAATAGGAGAGTGTCGAGCAAAGGATCTACATTTTGGATCAAAAATAACCGGCTCCCAACCATGCACTTTGCAAAGAAGGAAAACAGAAGGACTGCAAGTGTTACAGTTGCTCACAGGCTTGTTACTTATCAACTGGGAAGAAGGACAGGGCAAGAATCTGCTCCAAAAGCAGATAAATCCCTCCTTAGCAGCATTAATACTACTTTACTACACTTCTTAGTTTCCTTAAAATGTAAGCAAAGGTGTAGAAGCAGCCAGAGAGGAAAGATGCTGCTGAGCAGTACATGCACATGTTTCAGACTGGGCTGCAGTGAGACACTCCAGAAGCACCTGGAGCGGGAAGGTTTCTCCTGCAGGTCCCGCTCCTCCATGGAAACCCCTTCACTTTTCTCCGAGTGCTCGGGCAGGCAGGGGAGCACAGGCTTTGCCTGAAGCTGCAAAGCTGCTGAAGCATGAAAAGTTTGGGATCAGCTGCCGCTGAAGGGTGTAGACATTAGAAACCAAATCCAGAAGAAGCGCAAGCCCCAGCTCTGCTACAACCCACCGAGCCCAAGGGGATGAACTCTCCCTCGGCTTTTATCCTGATGGATAACCGATCTGACCTGACACAGTGAACCTGACGGGCAGGGGAAGAGTCCTGCAATCATGGTTGCAAGCCAGCAAGCGTGCAGGTTTTTCTTATGCTGCTACTTTTATAGCAGGAGTGGCACAGTAAAAGCGTATTTCATGCAAGGAAAAGTTTTGCTTCCCACGGCCTGCAGGATTTTCTTGCCTTCATTGAAGACAATGCCCACCACCACTTCATGTGCGCTTCTTGCACCTTTTTATTACCACCAAGAATTTAAAAATCACTCCTGTGGCTGTACAAGTCTACATGAAAAACTACTCCAGAAATGCTAAGCTACTGCGTTTTTCTGAGAAGTCCTTGAATGGAAGCTGTCCATCCACGAAGAACGCAGCTCGTGTTTACAATGGCTGTGTAATCTTTTCGAGAGATTAGCCAGTGTATTTATTTTGTTCCGACAGAAGGGTGGTGAGTGAGAGGAGCGCACTCTGTGTTTGTTCTGTACTGTTTGCCTCCAGGTCTGGTGAGCATTTGGAATATGCAAAGGGAGGGAAGCTCAGGAGGGCAGGTTCAGCCCTTCCTCGCAGCCTTTGTCCCACTGACACCCACTTGCAACTCATCACGGACGCATCGTCAGAAAGCCAGGACACGCGTCAGCTCTCCTTAACGTGCCAAGTGTGAGGCCAAGTCACCAAAACCTGCTCCAAATCTGAGTGTATCCTACGTCCTACGTGCTGGCTATGGGGAAAGCAGCAGACAGCCCAGTTTTCACCAGACCTGCCCAGGAAGGACCTCTCACGTCCTGCCTCAAGGCAGAGGACATGGCCCTGGTGGCTCACCGTCATAGAGGACTCTGTGGACCTTCTGTCCAGCGACTTTGCCCGGCGATGCGGGGACAGAGGAGACGCAGACACATCCAGGATGGAGCCCACAGCGGCACCTTCGCAAGTGAAGTCCTGTGTAAACAGCGTTAGCCCAGATCAGCGCAGAAACTAGGACAGCGAGTCCCACTCTCTTGGCTCGTGGCATAAAAATCCACGTATTTAAGGGGCATCTCAGGCTCAGAACAAATGTCATTTCACTGGCAACACATTTTTTTGGGCCTCTCAGGCATTAATTTGTTCCCAATATATCCAGACACAACTGGGACTCTGAAGACGGCCTGTTTCTTTTGTTACTTCACCCCATCCTGATGTGTCCTGCTGTGCCAGATCTGAAGTTTCCCTCTTTCAATTTTGGAGGAAGGAGAAAAGACAGCCTGATTTTCCACTCTGATCTGCAGCTGGACAAAGGCAGCGGAGCAGCAAGCGGCAAAGCTGCACGGACTGAGCACACGCAGCGGTTCGGCTCCAAAACCCTGTGCCTCCGGACCCCCTGCTCCGCTCAGGGACAAACCCGATATCCCGGGCTGCCAGATCCCAGGTGCCATCCTCCAAACCCCACCACGAGACCTCGGCTGAGCAGCTTACTCGTTTCCGTGGGAAAACCCTCTTCTCGCTCCTGCCCTGCCGCGTCTCGCTGGAAAGAGCAGCACCAGCCGACGCGTTCGTTTCCATGTGCTCCGCGTTCTCAATATCCAACGCTTCAAATTTTTCAATGACTTGGGATCGCCTGGAAAACAGAGAGAAAGGGGAAACCAGAGCCGGTTTAAACACAAGGACAGCAACTGAGCTGTACAATTCCACAAATGTAGGGCTGCGGGATCGCTCGACCCCGCGTTCATGCACACCTGGCCCGTGGGCCCTGCTTCTCTGCAAGCTCCAGCGTGCACAAACCCAGGGCAAAACACCCCGATCTGACACGCACCATTTGACCTGCAGCCAAAGTGGGGAAAAACCTCACGCTACTCAGCGTATCTTCTTAAATATCTAGGAAAAGCTTGCAAAACCAGCAATTACCTTTTATTTGTAAATTTGACGGCTCTTTGAGAAGCAGGGATTATTGAGCAGTTTTGGCTGAAGCTTTGCCTTTACACCCTAGCACTGCAGCTATCGATGGCCCCCCAGGCCACAGAGCAGAGACACATCAAACTGAGCCAGGGTGCAGAGGGAACGGGTGGCTATGGGTCACCCTGCATGTTCACTGCAATAAATATCCTGTGAAAACTCAGCCCCACGCATGTCACTTCCATGGGATTGCACTGAGTGAGGAGTGTCCATAGATGCTTCCAGACAACAGAGCTGTCTCAAGGGTGCATCAGCTGAAGAGGCATGAGGAGATGAGGAACACCCTGTGCAGGCACAGCAGGGCATCCCCTGCAAAACCCTGGGGCTCTACCTTCCTCTTCAAACTGGTCTGCGAATCTGGTATGGACAGCGGGGAGCACAACTTGGGCTCTTGGACCTCACCTCAGTGGCCTATCACACCGGGCCACACATGCCTCTGAGGACGGAGGAGGACTATGAAGAAACGTGGATGGAGCAAGAGCCAACCCTGGACCAAACCCAAATGGGATGCTCCTAAGAATGAGCAAACAACAGGCCTTTGCAGGTGGAATTAAAAGCGCCGTTTCAGCACGAAAAGCTGCTCATTGACCCACAGGAGAGGAAATACTGGAATTTTCAAAGGATCTGCTGGTGTTGAAGTTTGCCTGCCTGGGGGTTCGGGCAAGTATCAACCTCAGGTCTTTAATCACAGCCTGGGAACGTGGAGCAATAACCCACCACCAACACACACGCCAGCTGAGCTCCACGTTGTGAGGTTTAAAGCTCCATTTCAAACCTCCCCAAAAAGCTCAATCTGGGTGGGTTTTTGACACAAAATTTGGAACCACGCGTGCTGCATCTAAACTCAGGGCTACTTGCTCTGTGTGAACCTCTAATGTGCATGAAAATCACAACGGCAACCACATGAGGGGAAACAGGTTATCCAAAAAAAACATTTTTTAACACTTTCCACAAAAAGGAACAGCAGGTTAAGGGCTCAAAAACCATGAGATGTTCAGTTTTCAACCAACATTTGCACCAAATTCCATCAATGAGACAAATAGTCTGAGCACATCACATCCCCCGGCGGGCTGGGGGCTCCCCCCAACCGCTGCTCAGAGCCAGGCTGCCAGGACCGGGCACTGATGCCCACAACCAAAGAGGAAAGGACAAAATCAGTAGGGAAGACTCTGCTTTGTAAATTCAAATGTCTCTGATGTTTTTACAGGACATCTGTTCAGCCTCTGCTGCCTCCCAGTTTGCAGACTGGGAGTGGGCAGATCCCAGGCTCGTGCAGAGCTCCCAGTCCCCTGGGATGTTCTGCTCACGAGATGTCTGTTCACATAAACCAGCCCGCAGAGCATAAATCCACGTTCTCCGTTCACAGATAGGCAGGGAACTGTTTTGGAGTCACAATTTTTTAACCCTTTTACACTGGCCCAGCCTTCTCTGAGTCTCAGTTTAGGAGGGAGTAAGAGGTTCCATCAATTTATATTATCTGAGCCCTATCGGGTGAAGGCCTGAAGAAAAACAAATCAGGAGAAAAAAAAAACAAACCAAAACAAAACCAAAAAACATAAAATCAAAAGCAGGTTGATTTCTCATGAAAGGGGCGGCACCACCAGGTTGTTCTACGGCTTGAGATTGAGATGAGATGGTAGCGAAGCAGGCGAAGTAAAGGCGGACACGTCACACAGCAACACAGCAGGAGAAGGTGGAGAGCAACAAGACCTGGAAGAAAACAAGGCTGGAAAATGAATGAACAGAAGAGGAAATTATATATCTGCATCTACATACAAAACAAAATCAAAATCATTCCAGTAATTCGTCGTTGGAAAAGGGAGGAGAAAAATAAATCACTGCAACCAAATCACAGCCCCAAGAGTTAATATCATCCAGATTACAGGAAAGAATCATTTTTTTTTCCCGTTAGCTCAACATTTCAGAGGCTAGAGATCCTGGGGGGTCAGGGAGAGGAAGGGCTCTCCTCCCCTCCCCACCGCCCCAAGAGCTGCTCCCTCTGCACAGCAGCTCTGTCTGACAAAACAAGGCTGCGGACAGGTACGAAGATGCGTTTTAAAAGCCGTGGTGCCATTTAGTGCTTTCTCAACTACAAAGCTCGTCCCAAGGAAAGCCTTGGCCATGCAGGCTGTTAATCTTTTCCAGGCCACTAAACCTGAGCTGCAGATCTGGGCTGTTAGGTGGAGGGGGGTGTGCGGTGGGAAGGAAAGCCATAAAGACCAGCACGAGCTATCGTTAAAGTGATTTTCTTTGATTGGAAGACAGGGCTTGTTTTTATCGGATTCATTCATTATTTAGCAGCAAGAAAGACAGCAAGTGTCAGGAAAAGGAAGAGGAATTTCCCCAAAAGGTCCACAAAAACACAGAGGATAGTTTTACAAGAAAAAAAAACCTGTGCTTGGGAGAGCAGGCACTTGTCTCTACGGGTAGAAGCAGCATTCTGAGCAAAGCCTCACACCTCAAGAAACTCCAGAGGAGGAATTTGAAAAATAAAAGTCTTTTAAGCGATTTCAGGCAGCTCTGCTATTTATTGAGGCTAGAAATACACCTCAGCCCCCTGACCACGCTCCTACAGCAGATCCAGCAGATGCCACAGCAGACTCCTGCCAGCATAAGCAGCACCCGCGGTCAACCAGGGAAGCCGGGGTTTTAGAGGCTGCATCCCTGGAAGTGTGCAGGAAAAGCCACGTTTGCCCACCAGAAATCCTGGTGCTCCCTGGGGAGCTGCAGGAGGTGGGTAAGCCTGCAGCCGCACACCCGGAGGAAGGGGCTCCGGGTCTCTGTATTCCAAGGAGTCCCCACCTGATGGTGGTCTCCTTCCCAAAGCTGCTGGCACCCTCCTGAGATGTGCCAGGATTTATGCCTGCAGATGCAGAGCTCCGCTGGGATACAGGGACCAGCATCTCAGGCTGTCTCCGCAGCCCTCTTCTGCTGTGATTTCTGTGTGCAGAACAGGCTTCAAGATTCATCCAGGGGGTTTCCAAAGAGCTGTTCCTGCTCTTTCACCCTAGGGATGGGTCTGAGATGGGAGAACAAAGGCAGGACCCAACCTCTCTGGACACAGACCCTCTGCCCTGGCGCGGTCGAGCCCCTCTGTCCGGCGTTGGCACGGTGCTGCCAGCCCCATCCTGCCATGTGCCAGCAGAGGGAACTCACACTCTGTCGCTTTGCCAAAATCATGGAGATTATCTCCTGTTTTCCAATACATGTTTCTGGGTGGCTGTAAGCTCAGGCGTCTGCATGGGCGTGGAGTCAGCATCAGGTATAAACGGACAACATGGAAAATTTCCAGTAGAGTCTTGGACATGTCACGTAAAATCTCTTAGTTTAAGGAAACAGAAGAAGCAGCCTTGAAACACGGCTTTATCTGGAGCTAAGCCTGCAGGTGTGTCCCTCAGGATGCAGTGCTGGGTACCTAAAATAATTCTTTTCCATCTGACGTTCTGACGTTCGTGCGAAATTATGGTGGGTAAACAAAAAAAAAAACAAAAAGGGGAGGAAGAGCCGAAAATACCAACAGAATCAGAGCAAGTTTGTTTGGCTGCACTGAGAGATAAGAGGCAGATCTGAACAATGCCCGGCTGGCACCTATGGGGCTGGCATGTGGGTAAGCAGTTTCAGGCAAGCGATTTCAAGCAAGCGTTCCCGGACGTGTTAGTGGGTTAGTGAGAAGGATTATTAGAAATGGTGTTAAACCCGAGGGAAAAAGCTGACCCCACAGCATGGAAGTGAGTTATTGTATTTGCTCAAGCTCAAACAGCACAGCCTGAGCTTGGAGGAGAAAAATGAGAGGGAGATGTAGACTAACTAAACTCAAATTTAAAAAGCAACCAAGCCAAGCTGAGCAGGGTGCTGGCAAATGTTAATTCTCTGGTGTGATGATGGACTGCCTCTTTGTGCCCTGCCAAGACCACCCGAGCTCCGGGACACACGGCCTCTCCCCCCATGCCGCCTGCATGGGCCAATTCCCAGGTTACGGACAGTGCCCGTCCCTAAATACCGCCGGCTGAGCCGTCCCTGCTCATGGCATACTCCTCCGGTGCCGCAGGCTGTGATCCCTGGCCAAACACAGCCAAACCCTTTGGCAGGTGGGGACCCCTCGCCCCACTCTGCTGTTATCCCCCTCCCAAACACTAGACTGGACTCAGCCCGTGGGCAGCAAGATCCCAGTGCCTAGTGCAGTACCCGCTCCTCTCCGTACCCTCGTCCTGCTCCGATAAAGGCCCTGGGCTGACGTAGGGGAATTTTTGCCAACACTGATAAAGCAATAAAAACCTGTTAACAGTCCCAGGAGCCTAGCTGGGCTGGGAAAAACAGACTTTCTCTGGGAAAAGGCACCTGTCAGCAGGCAATGAGTGGGGTTGACATTAAAAAAGGACAGTTTCTGGCAGCAGCATCCTCTCTCAGGCCCCGTTATCTGCTTGTGAATCTGCTCCTCCCTGTCCTCAGCTGGCATGTCCTAACTCTGTCCCAACTCCATGCGGGATCCCCATGCTGCATGATACCCCCCAGGGCTAGAGTAGGGGACCATCGGCACCGGAGGAACGTGTCATCCTCTTGCACTGCGGCGGGCACTGGCCAGGGTGTGTGGTGCAAGCAAACCCATCAGGGACACAATCTCACCCACACCTCAGCCAACATGCTGCACCAGTTCAGCCTGCAAACCAGCAGTCACCAGCCTTTCCTCAGCCCTGTCCCCTGCCGGGGTGGCCAAGGGCCCCACGTTGCACCCTTCTCCTCTATCCGGGGGAAAACCCAATTCCCGAGGCAGAGAAGGCCAAACCCGTGCTCTTCTCCTTTATTCCCAGCCCAGCACTCACTGTGCACACTGCCAGGGCTGGGCTGGCTTTGGGATCCTCCTGCCAACCGGCAGCACTGGCACAAAGTTGCACCGTGCTTCCCAGACCTGCTCCCAGCCCTCGGAAGCCAGGCTGGAAAACAGTCCTTTAGGGGCTGGGAAGAAAGGGAGGAGAAACGTCTGCTGAAACCGTGCGAGAGAGAACATGCCCGGAGGAAAACCAAGGCAAGAAAATCAGACTGGCAGGCAGCCCTCTCGCCCGGGGCCCGTCTCCCCAGTTTGCTCTGCTGCCCTCACCGCACAAACGCGTCCCTCCCAGGGCAAGTCGAGCTCGTCCTTCGCCTTGCCCAGAGAGCACCGAGCGTGCCGGTGCGCGCTGCGGGCGCGCGGGCGGATGCCCTCCCCGTGTCCTCCTCCGCGCTGAGCTCTTTCGCAGCCCGCTGCACCCGCCTCTCCTCTCCCAGATTAATGCCATGACATTTTGAAACCTCTCTCAGCTCATTAGGCTGTTGCGTAACGCACCCGGCGCTAACACTGTTTAAAGAGCTAACCTAATTAATGGTGCCAGCTGCCAGCGTGTGTGGCACTGGGAGGGGACAGGGAGGGTGGGCTTGCTTGCAAGTACGGCCACCGAACATCACCCACCTCAGCCAGCTGTCCCCAAAGCAGCCAGGCATGGTGACACCTGCCTGCTGGCACTGCTGGGGACGTCCCACCGCCTGGTTGGTGACTATGGGTGTCCTTAAACCCAGGAGCACTGTAATACGAAGGGGCTTCACCCAGCAAATACCATCTGCTCTGTCCGGGGTTGCGGCGGGG